CTGTGCTCTTAAGTTTACCACCACCATGCAAATCCCTAACTGGCCCTAGAGGACCAGGAGAGGAGTGTGATTTTTACGGTTGAATTAACATCTGAGTGAGCTTGATTTTTATTTCTGCAACGTCACATGTGATTGAAGTGCATCCAGCAGGACACGCACAAACCCCCTTAATCATTTGATTCATGATACAAACAATAATCCACAAAGATTTAATGATTACTCCACATCAGAGCTGTATAGACAAGCTTTGCTGATGTATTATTTGTTGGCTCAATTCTGCGCCACATAGGCCACATACTTACCCTCAACGACGCAGAAGGACTAAACCTTTATTTCAGATTGATTCAACACAGTCCAGTGTGGTCCAGGGAAGAGAGGGCACTTATTGTCCACTAAGGACTTTGCCACATTCATTTGAAGAGCAGCCCTCTCTCATTATTAACAGACACACTAAACGATGGGCCCCAAACAATGCAGAACAGATCCCTTTATGCGCACAAGTGCTCAACGTTTCGGCAACCACTGTGTGCCCTCCACCACTCCCTCTTCTTTTCAGATACCTGCACATAAGTGAAAGATGTGGAGGACACAAAAGATATTCTCAACTTTCCTTTTCTCCCGATTCTGTGAAACAGGCCCATTTTAAAGCTTTTATTTGTGCAAAGCCTCTCATTAACTCCGCTCATGCTGCCTCCCTCGGCTTGCCATTGCTTAAGTACTGGGTGTTGTAAAAAAGCTACCAATTAGTCCCTCATCAGCTCCAATTAGAGGAGACAAAGCCTGAGTAAAGATAACTCAATGAGAGGGAGAGGTGGTAGGGTGAGGGCTGTCTACGTGTGTTTTTTTGTGCGTGTGTGCGCTTGTGTTTGTGTACATGTGTGTAGCCCAGGGCCGGCACAACATAGTTTGTAATAATTGAAGAACTTGTGGCCATTCAGTCTGACCCACTGCAGCACAGGTCCATTCACTCTCCAGGCTCCTCAGCGGACCCTTTTCTCAGGGCCAAGTGTTGTTGTGCTGGGAAGACAGGCCCCCCAGGAGTCCCAGAAAGAGAGCCATTCAATCCTCTCTACCTGTTTGCAGCATATAAAGCACTTAAGGCCAGGCCGATCTCTCATTATTGTCTCCTTCACTCTCAATACTTCCTTAAACTTAGGCCCCAACAAGAGCAAGCCCTTTTAGAAGAGGGAAATAGGGGATGTATGTTAAGGGGGTGCCTTTCGCCTCATTAGAATTGAATTGGCACTGTCTTGTAATTACGTTGGAGGGCAACAATGTATTTTTTTCATCATAATCTTCAATGAATGGGGGTTTTTTGGGGCAGTTAATTTGCTGCCCACACTAATGCATTAATTAATGAATTGGGTAACACTAATTTTCTCTATGCTGCGTCTCTCTGTTTGTTTCTTCCATCGTTTTCCAACAGTTCTGGGCAGCCGCTACTAATAAAATTACCTCATTAAGGACTTTATTGCAGCACAGTAACTCACTCATTCATTTGCTATTAAACATTTTCTTTGAAAGGGGGCTGGGTGTGTGATGGTTCCCATTCAGTGTTGCATCTTTTTGTGGGTAGTTCTAAATAATGAGCAGGCCAAGCAGGGAGATATAATTAGGAACAAGGGGGCACTTCAGCAAATATTTGAAATCTTTTAAGGCTTGCCCGTGTATGATGGTGATTAATTACTTCCAGAAGGGATTTTGGAGAAATCTATTGCCAGGTTTTTTTGTTTTTTTTTCCTGGACGAGATGACCCCAGCTTGTTAAAAAGATGTGCACAGGACTTTAATTTCGGCCCCTCTTTAATCAAATGCAAATGACATAACTGTTCTATGAAAAAAGGCTCATTGTGAAACAAATACACAATATGTAAACAGTGATGTAGTGTTTAATGAAGATGACATTTGGCTGTTTTGAAGGAACCTTTGGCATGTGCTGAAAAACTCAACAAATCAGTTTTTGTTTATGTTGAAATGCAACTTTTGTTTTCGACAATTATGATGACTGAATTATTGGTATTAGCACACAGCAAACACCATGGATATTGTTTGATTGTGATGTTGCAAAACCAGGATAGGCAAGTGTATTAAATGTGCCTTTTACAGTTCTGGGGGCTGACAACCATGTGGTCAAACATCTTTGAGAGGAAAGAGGTTAAATATTATAATAAGAATATCCATAATTTCAGTCATTAAGTCAGAAAAAAAACAAGAAAACACACATTACCCACGCTGAGTGAACATCTCCACAAAGCTTTATTCATGGTTGTTTTTTGATTATTTTCATGCGCTTCTGTGTGAACAACACTGCAAAGTTTAATGAGTTCACTGAACACTGTGTGCTGGGCATCATTCACAGGGATGTAATCGCACAGTAATTCTGTATATGACTGGCAAATGACTGCCACCTAGTGGATTTAGTGGGGTACTGAATGACTACCGAGGCATAGTGTACTGTGGAAGTATTCAGATCCTTAAGTAAAAGTAGCAATACACCACTCTTAAAAAATACTAAATTTCAAGTAAGTGTATTCAAAATACAAGTAAAACCAGAGTGATAATTAACAGTAAAAAAAAAATAAGAGAGAAACGGTCTAACTCCACAATACAAGACTACAGAGTTTGCAGTCTTTTATAATATATTCAACAACTATTTCATTATGTATACTGTGTTTAGAGAGAAATCACTGATTTTCCTTCACACAGACTTTAAAGTATTAAAAGTAAAAGTATTTATTATGCAGAAAGGCCCCTCTAAGAGGGTTTCTTCTTATATTTATATGTGACAAAAGAGGGTGACAACACTCCATTAGTCACCATATGGCTTACTGATTATACCACCGACAAGTACTGTTAAATATAGTTGTTCTTTATTGGTTCAGTTTCTTCCTTTATATAACATACCCACCGTGTGCTCCAGAGACTAGAGGAGGTGCCCAACCACTTCCTGTATTTATACTCTGATGACCCTATTAGTGATGTTGCTAGACCAGTTATGGGGTTGAGGTAAATGATGTTAATAAGTTATTTATGTTGTTTGCAATGTTTCCGTATGTTGTGAATGTATATGTTATATGGTAATCTACGTAAAAGGTTTTCACATGGAAATTAGAAAGAATATGTAACTTTATCACTTACGTGTTGTTAAGGGAGGTATTATATTCACCTGCATGAATGGTACAGCTGAAATTGACTCCCACTGATAAGAGCATTTAAACAATTGCTTTTTATCTGTTAGGGGGACAAGATGTCAGTGTGCAGACGTGTGCACCTGAGGTTAGGTTGGACATCTTTGTGTAATTGGGTGCACGAGATGTTAATGGTAATGTGAATAAAGCCATTAAATAAATATAGTGGAGTAAAAGTATGAGGCAGTAACAAATCATACTACTAATTAAAGCACCTCAAAATTGTACTCAAGAACTTAAAGCAAAAATGAGCAATTTATCAGGTAAAAACAATGACAAGGACAACAAAATGTAAGTTTTCTTAGCTGGAATCTCAGCTGGAAGCCGGTCAGCAGTCCCAGGTGGCTGTGACCTTTTGCGTCCTTATTTTACATCAGTAAAGTTTTCAGTTGACCATCCTTGTTATGATACAGAGGTCTCATTAACACGATGCTGGAAAATACTATTAAAGTGGTAAAATCTATATTGTCTTTACATCTCTACACACAGCTCTCCAGCTTAATGAGCTGTACGTGTAAGTTTATTTTTTTTTATAAAGTTTTAACACAGTTTGCTTAGCTCTGTGTTAGAAAGTATAAGAATGGATGGAATGCGTTCCCTCTTTGACCTTTTAAGATCTGTCATTAAGACAAAACAGCATACTTTGCACCGACAGACCCACAATCTGTTTTCTTTTGAATGTAGAATAAAACAAACCAGACTCCATTTTTAACAATGGAGTTATAAAAAACAAAATCACATAGACATAAGAATCAATAATAACAATTGCAGAGTTTTAGAAGTTGAAATGACGTGTTAAATAAAGGTTCTCATATACTAATCTGACACATGTAATAAACCACTTACGGTAAGCATCTGGAAAGTAAGTAACATGAAAGCCTTTGATTTGCTGATGAAAGAGACTAAAGCTTGATAGAGTGTTTAGAATTTTATTGCATGGTCTTGTTTTTCATAAAAATAAATATTACACCATCTTGTTTTGGTCAAGCTCCCGAGATTGTATCTGCAGCTTCCCTTCATCCGAATAAAAGGACAGAGAGAGATAAAAATGTGAGTTATGAGTAAAAAGGACGAGGGTGAACAAAAAGGGGTGAAACAACAATGTTTATGACTTCAGAAAAGTCCAAAAACCAGCTGGGAGCACAATGCCAAAACCTCATTCTCACTTCAGAGGCTAAGCATGTTCTGTTTCTTCCAGCTATGACTTCATAGAACTTCACAGCCTTCAGGATTTTAGTTAAAAGCGAGAAAACCAGAGCGACATTTCTATGTATTGCTGTCATACTTTTTCAATTTTTCCAGAGAAGTTTTAAATGTTAAACATGCTTTTTAAAGCACATTTCTAAAGTATATTAACTATTAAGGTATATAAGTAATATATGTGTTAAATTATAGTTGCTTAATCGTGACAAACAACTATAATTTAATGCTTTACTTTTACAATATTTAGCATTTAAAATATTTAATAAATGGTTTATAACAGTGGTTCTCAACTTGGGGTCTAGGGACTCCTGGGGGGCCTTGAGGGGGTCCTCATAAAAACTGGGCATATACAAAATATAATATACTAAAACAGAGCTGTTGTATTATAAAATATGTCTTCATAGGAGAATAAATAGCTAAACACAATGTACATTCATACACATAGTATTTCCTCATATCTGCTTACAACTACATTGTACTGTGTTATTGAATCATTTTTAAATTTTTTCTCACTACGGGGGACTTAAAAGCTGTTACCCATTTACATTCAGACTCAAAATGTTCGTTCCTTGCTGCTTAATAGTTGGCACGTTGTTCCTTCTAACACTGTGCAAGTAACACTGTTATTAGGCTTTCTTGTTTTCTGCCGAGAAGAAATATCAGACTGATTAAGCATATTCTAATGAGTTAGAGATTCATTAATCAGCCATTTATTTCTTAGTATTACGGTTTAGCTGAGATGGAAACAGATGATCTGCTGTGGCGAAACAAAAGGAAAAAAGTTGCTGAGTAAAGAACTTGATAATGTAAAGTGACCCTGCATTTTGTAAATGTCTTTGTCTCCCTCTGGTGGAGAACTATCAGTCAACTATCATCCATGAACTTAAAATGAATTTAGATGTCTTAATTTAGATACACAAGAGACTTCACAATTACTGGGCAGCATCATCACTTGTCCACGCATTAAAGCTCCGAACTGACAATTTTCCGCTGCTCAGGACTTAACTGAGCATATGAAATAACCTAATAATCCTTTTCCATCATTCTGCTTTACAACTGACAACTGCACTGTTCATTTTCATATCGTCACTCCAGATGCTTAACATGAATACCATTATCTGCCTGATAAAATTAGGTTGACACTCACATTAGTCAGGTCTCTGTATTGGCTTGTGTTTTACACATTTTTTGACAGTTCACAGACCATATAATTGACTAACTGAAAATATATTCAGCATACTAATTGATAATAAATTGCAAATGTTAGTTGCAGCTCTATAAATTACTGCTGCTTATCGATGGGTGTGACAACAGCAGTGATTATGAATTAGCAAAAAAAAATCTGAGGCAGCAATGCAAAGTATTCTTTTCCATCTTCTTCCGTTATTACTTTGCTGCCATGGCAACTGGAAATTACAGTAAGATGTCACACAGATGAGGTCACAGTGCAAATTCTTAATGCCTCAATCCAACATTTGTGGTGAGTTAATCCCTCTTGTGAATTTATGAATGATGTCAATTGATTCATCACTAAGGTATTGGGTGTCTCACTTTCTTGTACACGATTGTGTGAAATTGAATAAAACACTGTCTTAAAGTAATGAGGTAAAAACTGCTTTCATGACAGACTTGTTTAATGTGCTGTGAAGGAACCATATGTTTCTGAAAAATATCAAATAAAAAAAACATGCATTTGCAGTCTACTCATTTTGTTAAAAAATATTCATACAGTCTCATATATCTTACAAAAATAAACATCTGTGATGAAAAAGCATACAGTACATTCTGTTTAAAAACAGTTAAATAAAAAAAACAAACCACTTCAATATTTACTCCTGACATTAAGTATTTAAACCTGCCCTCTTTAAATATTCCAGTCAAAGTCTGTTCTCTCTTGCGCTGGTTTTCTCTTCCTGTTCCTCTTGGGCCCTCCGCCTGTTCGAGGTGGAGGTTCCTTGTAGTCCTCACCTGAGCCTGTGTCCAGAGTGTCCTGGTTGTCCCTCCAGCTGTCAGGGACCGCAGGAAACTCTTCCCCTGGAGAGTGCATCGGCCGACCGTACACCTTGCTCTGCAGGTCAGCGATGTCGTTACGGATGTCTGCCATCAGCAGTAGCAGGAAATCAAAGGATCCTGGAGGACCCTGGGGGTCAAATCCAACAAAAACAAACGATTTAAAAAATACTTATTTGTTGATTTATAAATGACTTGTGGACACATAATTGAAGTTATTCTCCTGCTGCATTTAATGGAAGATTCCATTTCTTGTTACTCAGAAGCCACAGAGGAGATTATTCCAACAAAAGTCCAGCTGATCAATGGACTGTTTAGGACTGGCCACTGGCTAGTGAGCGTTTTCTCAAGATGTGTAAACTTTAGCATCAACAGTGTTTATCTAAAGGGATAACGCTTACTCTGTACTAGATACTATTTACGTTGAGCTTGACAGTATCATCAACTGTGTCCTTTAATGTCCAGGGTGCACAGTGGTCTGTTTTTTCTGCTATGTTTTAGTTTAACTGTATTGTTCTGTATAATGGTAACAAGTTACAATAGTGTGGCATCAATATAGAAGTCCAGAATCTTACTGGTGGTCCGACAGGCCCAGGAGCTCCTCTATCCCCCTGGGGAAACAAAACAAATATTTAGCTTAGATGAATTACAGTAGGGGGAAAAAGCACGAGAAGAATTCCTATTATTCTATTTTGGAAACTTTCTTAAAGAGCAAGAGCAGGAGAGAGAAAACTGATCTCTCAAATTCCTAATTGATCAAAAAAGCAAGCATATAATTTTGTATTGTGGACGTTTAAAATCAAATTGAATTTTCTTGGCCAGTTAAAGGAAAAGTTTGACATTTTGGGAAACATGCTTATTCACTTTCTTGCCCAGAGTCAAAAGAGAGGGTCGATGTCACTTTCATATCTGTGTGTTAAGTATGGCACTGCAGCTGGCAGGTGATTATCTTAGCTTAGCACCAAGACCAGAATCGGGGGGAAACACAGCTAACCTTCACCTCTAAAGCTCACCAATGAACACATTGTACCTATTTTATTTATGGTTTTACAGGGAGTTAAGTGCTGTAACAATATAACTACTATAGTTCTAAGATGCAACTCTGTAACTTACATTGTCATTACAATTTGTTTTTTGTACGGTTTAAACAAACAACATGTTCATTAGTGAGCTTTAGTGGTGCTGGTAGGCATATTTATAAATTTTAGAAAGAGCCAGTCTTTATGCTAAGCTAAGCTAATTGAATCCCTGCTCTAACTCAATCCAGTAGTTAAAGCAGAGACATGAGAGCGGTATCGATCTTTTCATTGAACTTTTGGCAAGAAAGCAAATAAATGTATTTTGCAAAATGTAGAACTATTCCTGAAACTGTGCCCTGTGTATGTTCATATAAAAACTCAACATACTGTATATGTAGCCTGACTGAAGCCTCATGGCAGCGTGTTGACCTACGGTAGCAACCACACACATTGACCTGACTACTGTGGTTGTTAGCAGGCTCAGGGTCACACTGGGGCTGTGAGTGTTTTGGCAGATGGTTTAGATTTGTTACTTAGAGAGACAGATTACCATCACCCTCCAATCTATCCACACAAACATCTCGGCTGTACTGAAAGAATACCAAGGTATTACGTCAATAAAGAAGATGCACCTAAGTTATTCCATACGTGATCCACCAGCAAAAGCAAACAGCGTTACGGGTATAACAAGAAGAAGAAGAGCCAGTACAAGACCAGAATCTCTTCAGATTTTATACCTCCTACTTTTCTTAGTCAGTGTGACTCGTCATTCTTTAATCAATATTTAGTAAAATCACAAAAATTGCTGTATTGCTGTCAATAACTAGCAACAGGTTGCACATTTCATCCCTTAAGATGGGGTGTTTTTATGTTCTCAATTTTAGTTTTGTTATACCATCAAAAACAGATTCCTGTCTACTTACAATCACTTTTAAGTTTGATAAAGTCTCCAAGTGAGCCTGGCTGCTCATCCTGCTGTATCACAACTTTAACGTCCCATTGAAAGCTTTGGCACTGAGCAGGGGAACCATACCACTCTCTCTGCACAAGCAATGGCTCCAAAGCACTGCAGAAGTCTGAAGGCCAAAACAACATCTGCACACAGCAAAATGCCATTGTATTTTTCTGACCTCAGCTGCTCTTCCATTTTCTTTTTATGACTATTACAAAATGAGAGTGAGCAAATCTGGTTTAATACAAAAAATGTGAAAAATGCAAAAAAAAATCCATTGTAACCAGGTTGAAATCGGCATTGTGCCTCCTTAATCTGAGGCTTAACCATCTGCTGAAGCCTCTTCTTTAACACGTTTCCCTAGGCTTCTCTGGGAGGCAAAGCAGAGAAAAACATTCCAGTTAGCCTTTTGAGAGATGGTTACTACCTCCCGTCAGCCAATCCAAAGGCACCGTTCACAAAATCCATGTGATATTCCAGACAACCGCAACAGCCCGGAGGTATCCAGAGTCTTCCCACTGGTGGTCAGGAAGAAGCTACTGTGTTGCCACTTAAAAAAAACTAGCTGTTGGTCTCAGCTCCTTTCTGACTGAGTTTGAAGGAGAAACTTGTTTGCAGGTGAGAGAAATCATCCTTAGCAGAGGTTTTATTACTCCAAACAAATAGAGATCCTCTAGTAGAAAAACAAACACAGGAGTACTTGCAGTGTAAGACTCATTCCACCAAGATGCACCACAGAACGTCACAGGAAGTCATTCCTGCCTGTGGCCATCAAACTCTTCAGTGTCAGACACTCAGAGTCATTCTCATTAAACTGCAATACTTTATTCTGTCACTAATACTGCTTTTTTTTTAAGGATTCAGCTCTCATTATCAGTACTCATGATATTTATTCATTACACTTGTCACTTACACTGTCTTTCATATACTGTAGCATACATGTATTTCCATCTTATATATATTGTCATAAATTGTATTATAATGTACATACTTCAGATTATCTCTTTATTGTTGTTAGATATTGTAATACAATACATATTTTTAACTGCCTTCTTCTTAATCTTATTTCTATATCTTTAATGTCTTGTATCTTGAGCAACTGTAACAAATCTAATTTCCCCTGGGGATCAATAAAGTATTTCTGATTCTTAAAACGTGTAATCTCAAGTCTAATTAAGCAATTACACAATTGTCTGTACACAATTATTTATAAATATACATGGTGACTCAGATACCAAAAAAAATCATCTGCTTGTGTTCACATTGAGAATATATTCTACCAAATCATCACTCTTTAGTCTGAGTCCAATAATGATTCCCAACAAAAGCTTTAAAATTGTGCAAATTGCTGTTGGCACACCAATTTTCTCCTCCCAACTTGTACCAACTTGCAGTGAAAAACTCCAGCTAAGGATTTGTGAGAATCCTGGCACCTGCCTTTTGGTTTCACCCTGTATAAATCTGGTGAAGTTGAAAAACTATTTAGCTATTGAGAAATATCTTTTGAGAGACATGGTGTTGGCAGATAAGCCAACTCTGATATCTTTCCTTTGATAGAGGCCATGTTCAGGGAGCCAAGAGTCAAACTCTGCTGCCAACACGAATGACTCCTGTGCCTTAGGGGCAATGAGCTGGACCTTTGTTCTACTGTGTGCAATAAAAAAAAGTATCTTGTCTAGAATAGCTGCCTTTTATAAAAAAGTTGTGTTTAAAAAATGAATACACAGATTAGGTGACAAACAGCATCTGACCTCACCTTTAATCCGTCTTTTCCTGGTGCTCCTGGAGGCCCCTGTTAGATGACAGAAATAACTGAATTTCAAATCTGTTTCAATTATGTTTACAGATTTATGTGAGTTTCTGTTAACACTCAAAAAACGTAAACCTCAGCTGGATACTGTAAAGTCCATAAATGTGAATTTAAAAGTGCGTGTGTTTCCCTGTGTTGCACCCAAACAAAAATATGTTAATGTTCAATTCACTGTTTTCACAGAAAACTTCTTTCCTCTAAATCCTTTTAAATTCAAAACTGACATCTCCATCGTGCTCCACCAACAACGATTATCCAAGATTAACTTTGTGCCTGCCTCCAGGCCATTTCTGAGTGACTTCGGCTCGATGGTACAGAGTGCTTTGATCTCTTTCCTGGGATAATCGTCATTAAAGAAGTGTGAAGACATTGTATAGGGAGTAGGGCCAATATTCAGATCCGTATCAAGCCTGAGTCACATACTATACCACATTCATCATCTGTGAGTCCCTGACGTGCAGTCGAACACGTGACCTGGTGGGCAAACCTCATAACTGTGCTCAGAATCAAATCAGGTTTTTGTGCAGACAAGGACAACTCCTGTTTAGTCAGACCTCCCCATGTGAATACATGTATTAACAGGACATGAATATGAAGAGTTGTAAATTAAAACACACATCCAAATGTCACACACACAAAGCAATAGATCACTTTCAACTGCAAAAACAGTGTTCTAGATTTCTTGATTTGCATCATGCAACTGGTGATATGACTGATTGCAAGTGTTGATGGTCTGATTTATCAAAAGTGAGATTGCATAAATACTCAGGCTTTAAAAACTAGAAAATATGTCTCTATGGCCACATCCTGCACATTCTTGATTCAGATCCCACACTTTAACACGGAGGGTTCACACTCGCAGGCAAGACTGAGCGCTGCACAAAGACGCAGCGAGCCAAAAAAAACAACTAAAGCTGTAAATGGATTCAGCCTTCTCTGTTGTTATTGCCACTACCATGTGTCTTCCTATTTCACCCTGCAAAAATGTGGGTTTCTTTAAGAGGGTGCACGATAGCATGTTTTTTGTGTCTTTCTGAAATGTGTCAGTTCAGGAGACACCTGGGTGCTCCCTACTCACCCTGCCTTCATAAAGATAAACCACAGCTCTACTGAGGCCTGTCTCACAATGCAGGATTACTAAATTATCTGAATCATTTTGGTGAATAAAACCCGGAATCCTATAAAATCTGCAACACAGAGAAAAACAAAAAGAGTCTTTCCAGGTTTTACTTCATTCAGTGCTGTAATCCAGATACATTTAGTAATTCTGCTGTGTGACACAAAGCAGAAGTGTGGAACTGAACCAATAGAAAACAAAGGCAGAGATGGACGTAAGAGACTGGTTTTCTGTATACATGAATTACTCAGAGCAGTCACGGTTAGAACACACACACATTCATTCTTGCTCATTCAGAAGCGTATGCTTTAATTAAACTGTAAATAAAATGCTGAGTAAAGGCGTCTATTTTTCTGGGATTGTTTGAAAAAAAGTATATATTAACTGACCACAGGTCCTCGGGGACCCCGTTTGATGTGGGACAGGTCTGGTGTGGGTCCAATGGGTCCCATCAAGCCCCTGGGGCCAGGAGGTCCAGGTGACCCCAACAGTCCTGTATGTCCTGGAGGGCCCTTCGGTCCTGGATCTCCTAAAACAATCCAAACTGATATTAATGAACTAAAGACAACTGACCAGAAAAAAGGTCAAACAGAATATATAATGACTTTTGCAGAATAGATTAAATACTTTTTAGCCTTGCAAGTAGCAAGGACCAAGATTAGAGAGCAATCTTGATCTGTCGATTGGTCCACCACTTCAGTCCAGACTGAAATATTTTAGCAACAATGACTGCTATGAAATTTCAATCCATAGACTATTCCTCTAGTGCCATCAGCAGGTCCAATTTCACAATTATTTGGTGAAACATCTCGACATCTAATGGATACACTGGCATACCATTTTGTACTGATATTGTTGGCTCCCGCATGATGAATTCCAAACACTTTGGTGACTTTTCCTCTAGTGCCACCATGATGTCCACATTTGTGGTTTTGAGTGAAATGTCTCAACAGCTAATAAAGGATCACCATGTAATTTGGTACAGAGATTCCTGCCCCCCTTGTGATGAATGGTAATAACTTTTGTGATCTCTTAACTTTTCATCAGGTGCCATCACCAGGTCAAAGTTGTAATTCGTCCAATAGTTTTTATGACCAAACACCTGCAAAACTATTGACATTCCCATCAGCGTCAGCTTTACTTTTTGTTTAGTGTTTCATATCATCCCTGCTGGATACAGGCCAGTTTCCTTATGCAGTCTGACACTGTTTTATTAGTTTTAGCTTCATGTGTTTTACCTGGAGGACCAGGGAGACCTGGGGGCCCTGGTAGAAATATGGGAGATGTCAGGATTTTCTCACTGGTCATCTGCTCAGGGACATCAGCACTGTTTGACAGCATGGCCATCTTGAATTGGGATGCAGAAAATAATGAATGAGTTAACAGGTCAATGAAAAAATCAACTACAAATAATTAAAAGGTGATATATCAAAATAAGAACAAAGCCAAAAAAATTACACACTCTCACATGGGATAAGAATCCCATTCTTTCCTTAATTTGGAAGTGACGTCAAACATCCAAATGTGTAATTTCCCCATTTGGTTGTCTTTCCTAAAATGGTTTTACATACATTGATTCAAGAAAGTCCTGCACTGTCGAACAGGACAAGAAAATTACACAGCGAAGGGTCAACGTCAAGTAAAATTATGTTAAAATGATATACCCTGCCTAAGATGAAAGCTGATCTTCCATCTGCACCACACTACACGCTGTAACCTAAACAGATGGAGGGCCAGGCAACCCCTCTGCATTATTCAGCAAGACCGGAGAGTTCCTGCTCTGGCTGTTAAGTGGCATCCTTGGGAAAAATCATCTTTGATCTCTGTATAACATCATGTGGATCTGACAATCCCAGAGGGAAACACGCCAAAGACCTCGCTATACTGCAGGGGCCTACAAATCAGAATTCATGCGCACAGACGTAGAAGCATATGTCCACACACACACACACACAGACACACAGACACACACACACACAGAGCAAGGTCATGGTTCACTTGCTGATCAGTGAGCATTATGCAAGACTGTAGCCTGTGACCTTGGGCACAGGTGTTTGAACCACTGTGATCCTAAATTCGTACTCTAACCTTCCCATGCAGTGAATAAATGAGAATATACTTTCTCATATACTACAATAATACACTGTTTTTTCATTTTTGTTTTTTTAATATATTAACACTAAGGAAATTAGATTAATATAGAGTAAAGCTGCAGGAGCACTTAGACCACACAGCTGGAAGCAATATATAATGTGTTACAGTCGAGGGTGTTGAGTGCCACTGTTGACAGACTCGCGCTCAGATAGGTTCAGACGTTGACGATTACACAGAGGGAAATGTAACCCCACTGTTGAGTTTTACACAAATTACCCAACAATTCCCACTTATGGAAGTAATATACCAGCTACAGTACTGTATAGGAAGACATTTTTTATTAGGAAATAAAGTGCTATAATAAATCTCAAGAGACTTTTAAAGATCTGCCTGCTGTTGTTTCTGAAATACTCTCAGGTATGAACTCCACAGAGATAAAGTGAAATCTTTACATGGTGATAAAGAAACAAAGCAGTTCTGCAGATATTTACATTCAGCTCAAATAAGAAGGTGTGTTTAGTGCTCACTGGGGCCTTTCTGCAGTCAACCATAGAGTACTAGAAAAAACATCAGGATTGAAGGATGCAGGATTATGATTTAAGATAAAAACAGTGTAGTTTTGTTATTTTCTGACCCCTACCTTCTGTTTAAGCTGCAGGACAGACATCTTGATCTGGAGGAAATCATCACATGTGGCTGAGCAAGTTCCAGCATTCATCACATTGTCAGATTTCTCAAAAAGATGCACTGCTGGAAATATGGAAAAAAAGGGATTGTCACAATATTTATTGGAAAATTTTCAGAAAAAAGGAAAACATAATATCACATTGTTTATAAAGTATGTGGACAGATTTAGCATTGTTTGGGCAAGTATGTCTTAAAAAGTATAAATGTGCAATGAATCATTTTCAAAAAACAAAATTACAAAAAGGGTTGATACTCTTGAGTCACACACTGCTATTATGGTGAAAGTTTGATGGGTTGTTGCAAACTGTGTGACCTAACTGTCTGTTTAGGGGATGAGTGACTTATACAGTTCAGGATAACTCTCCAACACTGTCATTTATGTGACCCAAACGTTCTGGGTGACTCAAAATCCGTGATTTAAGACAGGGAGGTGGTCTAGTAAATGTATCAGAGCATCAGGGAAGACTAGCGCAGAACTAATGTCTGACTACTGACTCTGCTGGAGGTGAAATAAAGCAATATAATTACATGCCTCCATATTTGAACATTGTCCTGAGGACAAAGTTCTAGAATTGACTCTTTAGCCAGAAACCACATTAAAATATTTAAGAAAGAAAGTTGCACAATCGTGTAAAGACAAAGAACATGAAGAGCACGGAGCTCCCTTGGTCTCCTGGTTTTGTCTCTGGTCTGTAATAGAACAGTCCCTACTCTACAAATGCATATACTGTATTTTATGGATGAGTGAAAGTATCTGGACACAATTTTCCCCACTATACAAAGCAGAGGGACATAAAGCAGGAACATGACTACATGTACCACCGTTTCTCACTCTCCAGCTTCTCCTGAAATGTTATAGTAGGTAATGGAAGATATACTCATGGGAGGAAGTAGCAAATCTACAGCCCCTGACCGCTTCATTGGCAACTGAATCGGGGGCAAAGAACCCCAACTTTATTATCACCTGAACCACCATTTGTGATGTTTTCCTTAAATAAATCCAGCAAATCAGATACGACCAGGAGTCATGGGGGCGGTGGTATGTTTGGGAGACAGAACTGTTCTGACGTGCACAAGGAGCTGAGAATTAAATGACTACCAGGTGTTTATGTTTGCAGTAACCCCATCCTCCTTTTTCTCTCTCTCTCTC